CTATAATTATTTAGCATCTTATTTCTTCATTTCTGCGTAGATCAATAATTTTGACATGCTAATCAGCAATTACCGTATAGTCGTGTCAATGAATTGACTGTCGTCGTGAATTTTAGGTGAAGACCCCAGCAGCTTTTATAAATACGTTTTTGGTGGTATAAGAACACGCGATTGTGGCGATGTCGTTAAAATCGGCAGGTATCTGTTTCAAAAGTTGAGAGTTCAGTTTATTTTAATGTTTTTAAGGTGGAATCATTTCTCTGCTCGATGAGCCCAGCGAAAAGTTGCAGTGCTTAGCTCTTACGAAACTGAATCAAATTGTAAACGCCTTTTGGCCTGAAATTGCGGAGGTTGTTTTCCGCATTGAAACGCTCTATGAAGATCCAAATTTTCCAGCACGGAAATTGGCTGCGCTCTTGGCATCGAAGGTAACTAATCACCGACTACTTTTACGTTTCACGTTCAATGGTTTTACAGGTGTACTTCCATCTTGGTTCATACGAAGATGCCCTTATGTTCGCCCTAGGGGCAGAAGAACTCTTCGACGTACATGGTCACTCTGAATACGTGGAAACTATCATCTGTATGTGCCTTCTTTACTCCATGATTAGTATCGTAATTCAGTTTAGTGTTGGCAACCCATATATTGCTTCCCGGTAAAGTTTTCGTGTGAAATTTGCTTCATGTAAAAGTTTTTATATTGGTTATTTTTCCCTGTAGGTGGCAGATTTATGAATATTGTATCCAATTCACTGTTTCATTCCGAGCCCTGTTTTAGCATAAACAGCTGGAACCAATATAAACTGGATTTATGCGATATCTGAAGATCTAATCATTAACGCGCTTTAACGACAACACATGCAGTTTTGAAGATCTCTGATGTTCATTTTTTATCTGTAGAGCTCACGAAGCATTTCTGCTTGAAGTATAGTCTTTCGAATATAGGCAGTCTTTCGATTTGGCTTCATATTGAGAACAAATCTCTCCGTATTTCTGAGCAGTGAAGTATCTTTTGAACACACAGCGGCGGCACAGTTCTCACTCAGTAAGTTGGAAACATAAATAAAACTATTCTTCTTGGCAGAAGGAACCACTCGACTGGCAGTTACATTCAGGTGTCTTTGCACTTGTAATTGTGTGAAACAGAGATGATCGACTGTCGTTCGAAACTGTGTAGTCCGAAGTTGATCTGTCAAGAAAAAACAACACTTCCAGTGGTCCAGCCGAACTGAAATTTGGCCGAGCCCAGTTTGCGGTTAAAATAGTGCCGAAGATGCAACCTGAATCAGACTGTTCCTGGAACCGCTCATGCGGTTGTCGCGAAAGTCCTGCTACAGCTTGCATTGCACATGTCATCTTCATCGTCCATCGCCGCTTCTTTCGGGTCGCGAAGGCAGACACGTCAGACAGAGCTTCCAACGTTCCCGATCCTGTGCCAGAGTCTCAGCTTCGGCAAAAAAATGGAGTCTGGAACAGACTCCTTCCATATATTTGCACCAGGTTAATCTTGGCCATACCCTGGGCCCTCTGCCGGTCGCATTTGCAAGGAACAGTTGCATAGCCTTTTTTGTGGAAGCACTCACAACACGAGCCCAAACCATCGCATCTGTGGCTTCTCAATCTGGAGAAGCAAAGGCTATATTCCAAGGCTCTTCCGGATGTCACTATCCGGGACCATGTCGAGACGCGTAAGGCCAGCAACTTGCCTAAGAAAGCCCATTTCAGCAGCTCGTACCCGGGTTCGAAGTTTTTCAGTGATGGTCCACGATTCATGAC